ATTGCTGCTCTTGGTAAGCTCTCTAGTGCTCGTGCATTGTCTCCCACAAAAAATGTTCTAAGAGCACTATGGGCTCCCATCTTGATACTACACCTCGGTGGTCCGGATACCATAACTGCTTACACTTTGCAAGATACCCAGCTCTGGACCAGACACATCCTCACCTTAGTGGTCCAATCCTTCTTTGCCATTTATGTCATTTATTTGTCATGGATCTATCTTAGGCTTTCCATTTTGACCATTCCTCTCATATTGGCTGGAATAATTAAATATGTAGAGAGGATTTTGTGTCTTGAGCTTACTAGCTCTAAGAAAACAGAACCGGTCATCTCCGAGTCTCATCATCAAGATGAGTTAGAGATGTCAATATTCATTGACAAATTTCTAGCTGAACATGCAGATTCCATAATTGTGGTACTAGGCTATTTATTGTTTTCAGTCATGAGACCAGATGTACATGATTATTTGAGCGGTAAGTTGTATCTTCGGTCCTCTCAAGCAACAGCAAGGGTAAAAACTTACTTGAAGGGAACTAAATTCAACCATCAGAAGTCAGTTTTGGTAAGTTTGCTAGAAAGGGGAAAGCTAAGTGAAAATCCTTTTGAAATAGCTGCTGCAGAAATGGGGTTCATTTTCGACACTGTTTACACAAAGACTTCTTTGATTTATACCAAGAAAGGATGTGTCTTGCGCGTCATCAGCTTCACTTGCTCCTTTTCAGTTCTAATGTTCTTCTTGATCAGCATCATCAACGAGCCGAAATTCCATTTCTCAAGTGTTGATATTCGCATAACAATCAGCTTGTTGGTTGGAGCCGTGGCACTGGAATTTTTTGCGGTGTACTCAATGTTTTCTTCTCATTGGGCAATTCCTTTGATCTTGTTTCATGAAAATCGTTGGGTACGCAAAATCCTCTGGTACGTCTTCAAATACTTTCCTCGCTTGTTATTTCCTCAAAGGAATAGGTGGTCAGGTAGGATGGGGCAATTTAATTTGTTAGATTATTACTGGAATTCCAGTAATTCCAAGGTTTATGGCTTTCTAGAAAAGTCTTTTAGCAGCCGTATTCTTGAAAATTTGCACAAGTACAACTGTACTAGGTTTGTGGAGGTTCCAAGCTGTTTAAAGCTAATGGAAGATTACCATGACTCTTTAGATTCCTTTTTTAAGAGTAATGCCTCCTTTGAACCAACAAGGGGGGAAGAGACGCTAGATAAAATAAAAAAAAAAGGCAACATTTGATGATTCACAATATAGTAGGCTAATAGAGAGCATTGAATTGGACTTTGATATCAGCATCATAGTCTGGCACCTTGCCACGAGTATTTGTTACCAGCAAGATGTCCATGGTACAAGCCAAAATATTTTTATTGAAGACAGGAAAACCAGCAAATACATATCAGATTATATGATGTATCTGTTAGCCTTGCAACCTGCTATGCTATTGCCTGAGAGCTGTAAGAGTTTTTGGTTGGATGTTTGCGACAAGCTTAAAGATCTGTTCTACGAGGAATTGAATATGGATCATGCTTTGACCTTATTGTTAAACCAGGATCCGCACACTGCATGGTACAATATTAGGTCCGTTCATACTAATTATCTAAGCTTTAAATATTTATGCATATACAAATGTAGTTAAGTTAATTATTTTTAATATTACACTGTCTTTTGCTCATGTAAATTGGCAGTACAGAGAAGGCCGAAAAAGGGGAAAAGAAAACCGACAGTGCTATCGCAGACCCATTGAATGAACTGCTACAGTATGCGTTAAATCTAGTCAGAACACTCAACTCGAGAGATATATGGGATAGATGGAAGATGATAAAAGACATGTGGATAGAGATGCTTCTCTATGCAGCGCATTCGTGCCACCGTGTAAACCATATTAAGCAGCTGGCACGATCCGACCGTGAATTCCTTACCCTCATTTGGGTAATGTGTGGATCTTGGTTTATCGAAGCAACCAAAATGCTTGAAGTTGAAGAACCAACAGTTTTGAATATGTTTCTTTGATAATGGGCACTTGGCTTGGGCTTGGACTTGGTCCTTGCTGAAAATGATTTTTTTTTTTTTTCTGAATTTGATTTTGAATTTCGAGTTGAAATGTTAAGTGCTATGTCTACGGACAATGCAACAGACAACATAAATGTTCTCTTTTGGAAACAACCATTGGAGATGTTTGTTAATAACACTTGTTCAATGTTCAACAATAATCTTAAGTTTCAAACTTTGTGTGTGTATATGGAAATAGTGTTTATCCGTCTTATTTTCTCCTAAAGATTAGGAGGAATATTATTTTAAAACTATGTCATTTTAATAAACACATATTAAAAAAGATTAAAATATTTTATTTTTAAAACATGCATTAAGGTGTTTTTTTTGTCATTTTTCCTTCCTAATTTTTTAAAGGTAAAGTGGACAAACACTAACCATTATATATATTTACATCAAATAAAGATAAAGAGTTGTATAATAAAAATAACCCTTTTATTCCTTTAATTTCTCTTCACCCATTTCGAGGTTTGAACTCAAGATTTTTAATTTAAAATCTTAAGTTTTTAACAACTTGAGTTGAGACACTCCCTTGGGGCATTTCACATTTATTATTAAGAGAGTTTTTAGCTTTGTTGTATTTTAAAGTATTTTTAAACAGTACTAGTAGTCATATAAGCCCTTAGAATTGGCTACAAGAAATAATGGGTGTCCTTGTTGTGTATTTGATTAATAAGTATGGGAGTTTGAAATTTCATCGAGTTTGTTCTTTGGATGAAATTTCAGAGGTGAAGAGAATTGTCTGCTTTTTTTCTTGTTTCTCCATTTTTCATCTCTTTTTTACTTTTAAAACCAGTTACCATTCACATACCTTTGTGTGCTTCTCTTCGATTCAGCAAAAATCAACATAAGATTTTGCTAAGTCTACTTCATGAATTGCTTCTTCTTCTTCTTCTTATTTTTTATCAGCAGCTATACTTTATGCTCTGTTAAAAGATTTTGAGTTCTCATCAAAATCTAAGGCCATGTTTGATTGAAGGAAACACTAAAAATACTTCTTCTTCTTCTTCTTCTATACATTATGCACTGTTAAAAGATTTTGAGGTCATTTAGACTTTATTTCTCATCAAAATCTAAGGCCATGTTTGATTGAAGGAAACACTAGGAATACTTTTCTTCTTCTTCTGTACATTATGCACTGTTAAAAGATTTTGAGGTCATTTTGACTTTATTTCTCATCAAATTCTAAGGCAAAGTTTGATTGAAGGAAACACTAAAAATAAAACAAAATCAAGAAGTTTGATTGACAAACTAGACAAACTAGGAAGAGACATAAACAGTTTCTTCTAAATTAATGGATTTCCGAGGAAGAACTGTTACCACGTCTTCGTAAGAATAAATACTCTTTACTCATTCCAC